GGAAGCTACATTATCCCCGGTTGATATAGGCTATACTATATTTTAAAAAAAAATAGGGATCCTTACTAAAACTTAATGTAACCCAAAGTGTACAAAAATTACCTAAAATATTCTTTACATCGCGTGCGCTGCGAAAACTATTGATGATAGAATAAAGTAATGTACTACGAATTTGTAGAACACATCATTATTTATAAAAAGGGCGATAGCATATGTCTAACTCTTATAGTTATGCCACAATAAGTGTTCTTTTATTTTAAAATTTTGATTGAAATGCCGCCGCTAGAAAAGGCTCTTTATTTGTATCTTGGTATTAATCCTTATAAAAATAAATTACTTCATATTTAAGACGGTTTCAATATCTTTATAAAACTTTTTGAATTATTAAATTCGGACATTCCATTCGAGAGATATCACAAGTTTAAAAATGTTAGTATATTGGAATTTAACTATCCAAACAGCTTAGTGACTGACTTAGTAGTTCTTATAATTTTTCAATCATATTTATGCTGGTAATTCCTGTTCGATAGTTAGCAAATTATTAAATACAAAGGCAGTTTAATTTTTTTTATCATTTTAAAGATCTCATCTTTCTAGAAATAGTTCCCAGGCGAGGGCATCAAAAATACGTCGTAATGAGGAATCTTTACCGGAAACTGAAAATAGTCTTACAAGTCGGAGGGAGTCAAGTAGAGTGGCTTGAAGAGCAAAATAATATATAAATATACAAATTCACAATAGGGAATCGAGCTCTGTGTGTTCCCAACGCCTACGACATTAGAGGGAAAGACAACAAACGTCAACGATTAGAGTTCGTAATCGACTTTTAGCTCACAGTAACAGATCAGCTTTAATGCATTAAGCTCAACAGTCTTTCGTCCAAATCGAAGCCATGAATAAGATCTGCTCTAAATGTTCTGCCAAAAAATGGGTCGATGAACCAAATGGTATGTGCTGTGCTACTGGAAAAGTTAGTCTCCCCAAAATTGAGGAGCCGCAACAGCCAATAAAAAATCTTTTTACAAATAACCATTCACCATCAGGACATTTTTAACCATAATCCGAAAGTGCAATAGCCTCTTTCAAATGACTTCGTTTGACGCGAACTTTTAAAATAGAGGGACAAGAATACAAGTTATCATCCTCCTGCCCCTATCCCACCTAGGTGGGGTCGGCTCAACATAAATCATGTTGTAAGCATTTTTAGCTATATTTTTTTTAGCAAATTTCAACTGTGTAACTATCACGGTTCATGAGATACAGCCTGTTGACAGAGGGACAAACAGACAGCGGAGTCTTAGTAATGGGGTCCCGTTTTACCCTCTGGGTACGGAATCCTAAAAAGGCCCCACAGATATAGTGTTGCACAGGTAGACACGTCCAACTTAAGGGTCTCTGAGTTACACCGATTGTATGATACACAAAAATATACCTTAATAGTCGTAATAGGAGAAGACGGTTAATATTTGTCTATTCCTAAGCAAGGTACTGTGCGCAACAAAACTGTGACGATTGATGGTTAGAGCTATCTGTTTTAATCCATTGCAATTTGGCTTTAAACTAAACGGCTTTTGCTCTCTATTTCTACTTACACACCAGGGTATTAAGTTTCTTATACAAAAACAACAACAAATCAAACGTCATATTTGTCTTCTTTCAATGTTAAAAAATAAGTCATTAAAAATAAAAAAAAATGAAAATAAGTAGATTTCCTCACGATGTTTTGCTTCATCGTTGAGAAGTAAGTATAAGTCAGCACTTAAAATTGCAATTAATGAATTCCTTGGTGCCGGCACCGGGCTTCGAAGTAAGGTTTGTTTGAAGGTGAATTTTAAAGCAAACGCCCCGAACACTGAGCTATCACGCATTTTACACCTCACTAATTATTACAATCTGATCTCGTTTGAACTCTCTGAACAGTTTTCATAACTGCCTAAATACGTCTTGATTAACACCAAGAGGAAATCTTAAACATATTCACAGAACTGGGAGGTAACACTTGAAATGTGCGGGTCACTCAATGTATTAAACGACTGTTAAAATCGTCACCCGAACATCAGACCAGAGCGTTTACACTGGCATTCTTGACGGCAGCTGAATTCACACTATCGTTTGAAAAGTAGCCTTTTTCACGCCACGTCTGCCCTTGACGTGCGGACGCGTCAACTTGCGATATTTCATCCGAATGGGCTCTAAATAAGTGACGTCACGGCACGTAACATCAACAAACAACTCAGTTAACCTATTAAAGGCAATACTAGCTGCAAATACATTTATCAATGTCGAGGTGCACAGTGAGTGTTGTTACCCAAGTTTTCGTTACAAGTTTTGAGCTGAACGCGAAAGTTTTGTCCCGCAGTGATATGAAGTAACGATTATGAGTATTATAATTTATTATAATTTAATGAATCTAAAACAATGCATGAGAGGCAGATGAAAAAAAGCTAAATCTTTAATCGCATCGGGGCCACGGTGACACGTTGGAAATACCGAGGTTTAGACTAGCTAAAACCAGGAAATCGTTTCTTGGTAGATGTATTAACTTATATAATAGAATAGGTGACATCCACAAACAATTAAGTGTAAATAATTTCAAACATTTTGTAAAAGCCACCTTAATGGAAAGGGCCTATTGTAATGTCGAGGAATACATTGTGGACAAGTTAGTAGGATTATACTAAAATAATATTGTGTATATACTTAAATAATTAAATACCTGCGGTCATATATATATATATATATATATATATATATGACCGCAGAGTTTCTTGCCGGTTCGTCTCTTGTAGGTCACTTCTAATGGGTTGAATAAAATTATTGGTTAGAAGGCTGTCGAAATGGTATATATACCTCTAAGTAAGAGAAGAATTGAGAACATTCTTTATATTATTTTTGTCTGACTTGTATTGTACGAAAACCGGTTGACATTGACCTGCTTTAGCGCAACACGGGCGTAAACTGTAACTTGAATACGTATCATGTTACTTATAATATATATTATATATATATAAATTACTGTTAATTATAATTTTTTGGTGTAAGAGGAGGTCTGTTTGGGACAAAATGAAGGCCTCAGGGATGTGATAAACTCTTGAGTCGATAAGTTTAATGGTTACAATTTAAATTTTACTAGTTTTACTGTTGGAGGTACAATTCCTCGGCCTTTAGCCAATTAATGAGGCCGGCGGCTGATAGGTGACAGGAATGCCATTGAATTTTAAAATTAAAATATTAAACTAGACTTGGGCTTTAATTAGTATGCCTTTATTGTTACTAACCGTTCTAGAAATAGCTTTTAATGATTATTTATGATTCTGATGAGATGAGACTGTGATGAAGTAAAATATATCCAGAAAAAGAACTCTCTTAGGAAATGGGAACACATGTTGGCAGTGAGAGTTATTTTAAAGTAGGTAGAAGAGAGGAAGTTCTTGAAAATGTACTTCATTACACTTAGTTTTATTTCATTCTCGACACATTTTAAATATAACGATTTACAAAAATAAATTATTTTTACAGGATCTAGAATAGAATCATTTATTTTAGTTTTTTAATTCATTACGTCATGATTAAATTCGCATGTGAATCGCATTAATGAATTAAATCATCTAATAAAGAAACAATTGCATTAATGTTATTAATGTACTTAACTGTCATGAAATGTGCACAACCTATCGTCCTATTAATGAACAATAACAACAAGACAACAGAAATAGTTTAATAAATATTTATAACATGTTATACGATTTATATGTCGACCACTTTATTCTACCCCAAGATAGTTTATCGATATTTTAAAAGAACGGACTAGCATTGAGCTAGTTTGTTTCTTGTAGTGTGTCTAGTCTTACCTAATCATATTTTAAAATTAACTATTTGGCAAGTAAAGCCAAGAATGCTAATGGTCATATGAACAACAAACGTAGTTTAATGTTTTATATAGTATTCGATTATGAACAGGAAGTTGACAATACAAACCTTTTCTAGTTGAATCAGTCGCCTAAGAGCTAAATAGGATTAATATAGTGAAAAAAATTCTAAAATTAAAATGTCCAACTGTAATTCGGTTGTGGCACAAGAACACTTACTATGCCAAGAATAGTCATTTTCCTTTGTCCCTCGGTAAATGTCCTGAACGAAGCCAAATCAGAGAGAGCCTAGACGCCGCTGTCTTCCGTACCTTGGTAAACGGTAAACCTTTTCACAGTGGTAGGGCCACGCAGCAGCCTCGGCTGTTGCACGAATGGGCAGGCCCGTCCGGGTAAGTACCACGACCTCACAGAAGACCAGCGTAAAGTGGAAGTATAATACTTTCGCGTTTCGTCTGGTGAGTGAGAAACTGGCCGGAGCCCAATTTTCAAAATGGTTGTCAACGCATCATAAATTATGTGTATATATTTTTCTTTAATTTCTACTAGGCATCCAGATTGTCCGTGACTGACTCACTTTCGTAGGCGTCAGCTGAAAATCAGCGCTACCTCAACCGTAGCATTATGCTGAGCTGGCTACCTTTTGGTCGTCGTATTCACTTATTACGATATTAAGAAAATTCATTGTATTTATATGTAGAACCGTCGGTGTTTGCTCAATAAAGATTTTATATTCTATTTTGACAACTTTCGCATAAAAAAAAAAATATCAAAAGACATTGATGTAAAAGAAAATAATTTAATCAAATGGTAACAATAAAATTGTTAAAGGATATAGTTGTTACTCCTGTTTCACGCATAGCCATTCCTAATTAATAAATAAATAATAGAATTCGTATATAGCCTAGATTTTGTTTCAACATAAGTTATAATCCGCAATAGGCCCTTTTTAGGTTATCGCGATGTTTTGATAAATATTACGTTCGTTCGTTATTTCTCAAGAGCATTAACGTTATGCCCAGCATTGTCTAAAGATCGTTTGAATATAAAGAAGTGTTCACAGTCGAGCGGTTTTTTCGGTGTCCTCATTCGTCATCGGCGTGGTAATTCTAAGGAGCAGCTAGGGCAAAAATGGGATCAGGCCACGCGCCGTTGCGCGCCGGCCTTATGTAGCTTTACTAGCTTTTTCTCGCGCCTTTCCCTTTTTTATTCATAAAAAAACGGGATAGGCGCTTACAATAATTAACTTTGAAGGAAATTTATTTATTTATTTATTTGTTTTATGTGAAAATTTTCCATACGACCAGACGGTTCACCTGATGGTAAGTGAATACCGTCGCCCTGGACATCTGCTACACCCGAGGGTTACAGATGCGTTGACAACCTTTTGAAAATTCTTATGTTTACTCTTCGGTTCAGCATCTGCCATCTACTTCTCGCCATGACAAGGGTTGACTGGTAGAGAATGCCATTAGGCATTAAGTCCGCCCATTGCAGCCTTTTGCCTATGGTGTAATAATGAAGTATAAATAAATAAAACCTAAAGTATAAATTATCTGAATTTGAACTTTATTAATATTCTGTGAGGCGTTACTGCGTCTTCCCGCTTTATCACCTTCAAAATCGTTATCAGCATGGAGCTTTGGATATTGATACTCTGATTAATCGATACTTTACACTACCACAAAACTTTTTAATTAACCAATTAAAATATTAAGCCCTTTTTATCTGTGCTCGAGTGTTTGACTAATCCACGTGAGCGCAATCTAAAACCTATTTGGTATATGTGTTTTATACTAATTGTTGGCTTTTCGTTGATATTATATCTTCTATCGACATATGGCGTAATGGGATAAAAGTTAGATGGTAGGTTGCAAAAACAAAGGTGGGTCTTTGGTTAACTGACTCATCAAAAGCAATAGTGTAAATATTCCTATTTAACTATGAGCCGCTGTAAGCTTGCGATACTTACCGGTCGGGAATACACATTCCTGTTGGGTATTTCGTCATGTTACGGGATATCTAGTTGAGAAGTATAAATCGAACATCGTCATTTCCCTTTATTAGTCCAGTTAAATACTTATAATTACACTAGGAAATTCATAAACTTCAAGAACCGTCTATATAAAAATATTTAAGCTCTTAAAGTTACTGTTAAGAATTTCTTTTCGTATGTTCTTTCCTCTCTTATTCGTTTTCTTATTGGAAAATAAATGCTAATATTCATTGACTGTTAACTGTTATTTAATACATTATTTGTAAATGCCATATGGTTTTTCAAAGTGTATCCAATCCATATCTTGCAATGAATGATAGATTTGTCTTCTAGTACTTTAATAATAGCCACTGCCGCCGATTCTTTCGTCGCGCCTGTCATAAAAATATGGTTTCAGCTTCAATGGAGTTGACTTTAATATAAATATTATAATTTACATTTTTTCTTGTATCCGATACATTCCATTATTTAAAAAAAAACGAATGTCTAAAAAAAGAGTTTGGTTAAATTTTTCACCCGATTTCATAAATTACAAACATCTCTACTCCGGATTTTACGAGGACCATTATATCAAAAATAAGCGATGAATTTTCGAAAAAATAGTAACAAAAACTATTACACGATATTTGTCAGATTGAAAGAATAATTTTATATTATTGTAGCCTTTAGATTTTTCATTAATATTTGCAACCTTAAATTGGCGATACAAATCTATTTGTATCTGCGTGTACAGTCAAACAAATTAAACGCCAGTAAGTGTTCGCATTGGAAGCGATTACCAATTGAGCGGCACAATCAAGCTGTCGCCGTAAATGGTGAAAACCGACCGAATAAAATCCAAAGGATCGCTAGGCCCCACTCCACTCCACCCCTAGTCCGCGCATCCGAGGTGTGGCTGTGTACGCTTGAGCGGGCATCAGTGGCCAAGGAAAAGCCGCCGTCTCAGCCAGCCATCGCCAGTCGTGAGAACATGTCCTTAGCGGAAGGTGCTTCCGACACCGAACACAGGCCTGAAGAAGACAAGCAAAGCCCAGCCGAGACCAAGAAGAATTCCGACAAGACACAGGTAAGCGATTTGATCCACAGATGCGATTTGATCGGCCGTGTAGAAGATTTTAAAAAAAGTCCAAACGACTCACGCATACTCGTATTACATTTATATATATAATAATAAGAATAATGTAATATGGAGCTGAAGTAATGAGTAAGAATAAGAAATAAAGAAATAACAATGTACTTATTATATTTTAACACTAGCTGTGCCCGCGACTTCGTCCGCGTGGAATTTAAAATAAAAAAAATCTAAAACAAAAGTAGCCTAAGTTACTCCTTATTACATCAGCAGTCTGCCAGTGAAAGTCCCGTCCAAATCGGTCCAGCCGTTTCAGAGATTATCCGAAACAAACAGACAGACAGACAAAAATTGTAAAGATTGCTATTTTGGTATATGTACCGTGTTTACATCCATATACATTTAGTAAAAAGCGGATATTTTAATATTACAAACAGACACTCCAATTTTATTCATATGTTTAGATTTCTCATTCGAATTCGCTTTAATTTGTAATTAATTGTAAAATTATAATTAAAAATTTAGAGTAGTTAAAGCAGAAGTATAAATATCAAACGATATCCTGATCCATATTACATCGTTTAGTTAACGCAAAACGTAAATAATTAAAAATAAATGTTAATAAATGTTTCGTCTACAAAAAGTAAAGAAGTCGTTCATGGGGCAAAGTGTGCGCATGTATAATAAAATCCCACAGTCGATAAAGTCTGCCGCTTGACCAATTTAAATGTAAAATATAAAATCAACTAATGATTAATTATACTATTTCGGAATATCTCGACGACGCCAATGTGTGGACTTAATACTGTTGATACTCACGTAGGCTAGAATAACACTATTATACCTGTATATTATATTGTACCCTGATATTTTTGAAAAAGAGCAACTGTTGAGTTTCTTGCCGGTCTCTTCTCAACAGAAACCGCTTTCCGAACCGGTGGTACCTTACGAACCTATACACATAATCTTTGATGTAAAATTTGACGATTCATAAGAGCGCGCAAGCGTCTATTTGAATAAATATATTTTTGATTTTGAAAAGTTAACTTCCAAGACTGACTCATTATTTTAGCAAAATACATGCACTTAAGCTTTTATTGTAACTAGTGGATGCCGAGTGGTCGAAATTCGGCCAAGTTAAAATAATCTCAACAAGCTCAAATACAATACACAATAAACAAAAGAGTATATATGCGCGTTTGTTTCAAAAAGCTACCATGTATTTGAAACGTATCTCCGCCCGCCCACTTTTCGTAGAAAGGGGTACAAAGTTTTTGCTTCATTTTAAATTTTTAAACAATTTTTTGAAGGTTTAAAAAGTACATATATATGTAACAAAAGAGGTCTAATATGAACTTGGTATTAAGAGCTTTGATCAGCATCCATGTTTCACTGACCCTATTTATAGACAAAATGACAAGCGTTTAGCTTGTCGTCGTATTTATACAGTTTATACAGGGCGCAGTAATTTCTGCACATAAACTGAAATAAATTAGAAAGACGGCAAATAAAACAAGAAAAAGTAGTTGTTTATCAATACTAGTAAGCATATTATGCCTTTATTTCTAAATAAATTAATATTTAAGTACTATTAATTAATGTACATAATTAAATTTTCTATTTTGACTTTTCACAGTGTTTTAAAATAAAAGTGTTATACACTAAAAAAGTACTACCATCTGTTTCTTGCAATGTGCGTTATAAGAGAAAGGATAATATACTTAGGTCTCTTTTTAAAATGAAATTTTACTAGTTTACGTTTTTCTGTAATAAGCAGTGCCTTAGAAGTAGGTAATTGATTCTGAAAAAAGTACTTATATTCAGGGTTAAAATTTAAATCGACGTTGAATTTAAGAATTTAAAAAATCCATGTTTCCTTCCCAATTGTATATGCTTTATATTTATAATTTTTTTTTTAATTTGTTACAAAACATTGCCCTTACTTTAGTATAACATTATCCTGTGTTGCAGGGACGCTTTAAAAACATAAATTTCACGTGGACAAACATCGAGATGCGAAATAACTATCTGTGGGTCACACAAATACTTGTCCCGTGTGGGAATCGAACCCACGACCCCCGACGCCGAAGCCAAAATACCTTGGCAACTGCGCCACGGAGTCATCAATAAAAAAATTATAATTTATTCGGAAAAATCCCGTAAACAAACATGTGTTTATTGTAAAAATATATAAAGTAGTAGTAGAAATTTCTTCTGATTCATGGAAAACAAAATCAACGCAGTAACAAAGTAAAAATCTAACAGAAAGTATTTGGCCAAATTTTTAAACTTATAAGATAACTTTTTCATAATGATGTACATTTCATTAATAACTGAGCATGTATTCAGTAAATTACAAGACTATTTAATTACAGCTCGTACAGTACAAAATATAAACGTGTGTATTGTGGGTAAATCGGTTTTCCTCCTCAACCACGGATTGTCCCTGAGTTCGTTTGTATTATAACAGACGTCGTGACACGGAGCCTAGACTTTTTTATACTATGATCGCATTTCCCGGTAGGGTGACCAATTAGTGTCTTAAGAGAGTTTTATATGTATTCATGTCAAATGAAATTTGGTTTAAGAAGAGACGGTAAAGTCGTATATAATGATACCATGTTTTTAACCGAAGATCAAGGGTCAAGTTAATAGTTTTAACACGAAACAGTAATTCTTAATTACTAAAACACTAATAGTCAAACTTTTAACATATTGACTTTCTGGCGATAAAGATACACAGAAGTAATTCAGCGGAATGAAGGACGCTTGCTCTGTCACGCTATCTTCAGCCAGTGAGCAATCGGTTCAAGCAGTTCAAGAGTGTTTCATCAGGACCTTATGAACAAGACTTAACATGCGCCTTACTTAGACACCACTTCCTTGGTTAACTTTCTGATTTCTTGTTACGTTTGTGGAAATCGAGGGTTTTGTCTGTGCAATACAATATCAGGTTATTAAAACCAACTATAGGAGATACATCTCAAACGCCGGCGTTCTCTACATTCATCGAGCCTGTAGCCATCTGTGAGAATTCGCTTAGGCATGTCATCTTCGATTGTTCCGCGCTTTCCAATATCTAGTTTCTTTACAAATATAACGTAAAAGTCAGGATTCCCAGGAATTGTGAGGTGGTTTTTTGTCTATAAGAAATCCAAAATTAAAAAAATAACGCTGCATGAAGCTGGGATTCAAAACTACGGTATGAGTCCATAGTTATATTGGCATTTAAATATAATCCTATATCCTTACAGTGTAAGAATAGGGTGTATAAGAGTTTACTTGTTATTAAAGTAACTAATTTGACCATAGTTAAATAGTAGTACTAGGTACTGATATATACGAGTACGTCCATATTATAGAAACTGAATCCATCCAACCATCCAACAAAATTATTTTTCAGCAACCCCGCTAGCCAACCCACAGTTAATTGCATAATAACGCATCAAGAGTACCGTTTAAGAAATAACTAACAATAAATATAATCAATGCCTTCACTTCGGCCTCCGTTCAACCGTCAAAGAAATTAACCAATTAAAAGATTGGACCAATTCGTCTCGCCAAACATGGTGTTATAGCTCTTTGAGGCCTTACATTCGACAATTGCTGCCGATTCTAAATCGTAATGCCTGTCCACCCACTTACAGAAACCGTAATTACAGTAAATTAGTTCAATTCCATATTCGAACACACTTATGTATGTCTATAAAAGCGGTTTCATTGTATTATATGTTTAATACATTGCTCACTTGAATAACAGACATGGAAAATTAACTTTTATTTTGTCTATAGATCTTCACGAATTTCAGAAAATATATTGAGAGAGAACTCATTTTTAGTTTTAGATATTTTTATAGAAACCCAATGGGTATTATAGATGATCATGACAGCTACAAATTTGTACATATCATGGAAATTTAATTCAGCTACAGAATCGTCAGTGAGTCGATCGTCAAATCTAATAATATATTACATTTTTTGTCACAGTTTTAGTGTTCATACTCCTCCGAAACGGCTTGACCGATTTTGATGAAATTTTACATGTATAATCGGTACAATAGGTTTATAACTAATTTTTATACCCCTATAAGATAAGGGTGGTCCACCCCAAACATTTTTTTCTACCCTACAAATAATTTATATGGCAAAACAACATTTGCCGGGCCAGCTAGTAAAATATAAATAAATAGATGTAATTTTGTGAACAAATTAGTAACCAGTTCCATTTCTTGTCAGCATCACTTTTCAATATAATAAACAAACCACAGGTATTCACTTCTTCCGCAAGTAGTAATGATGATTAATTATTTATTTTTTTATGTGAGAAAGTGGCAAACGAGCTGGCGGTTCACCTGATGTTAAGTGATAACCGCCGCCCAAGGACATTTGCAACACCGGTTGCAGATGTGTTACCACCTTTTAATACGCGGGCCCCGACTACCTCACTCACCAGACGAAACGCAGAAGTATAACTTTACGCCGGTCTTCTGTGAGGTCGAAAGTTTAATTAATCTAGTTACTTTGCAATTTTAACATTGATAGGAAAGATTAAACCGAACCTTCCAAGGTAGAGATTCCAGGTCGCACAGAATACATTTTCGGTGGGATTTACTTTGAGACTTTCGTAAAATAAGCCCAGGAGCATGTTTTAATATTCGACACGTATCGCATTATTTGGAAGCTGTTCGGAATGAAACAAAAGAGAACTTTCAACCCGCTTATTGAGGCGTAGCACTAATAAAGCTCTTTGAATATTCGGATCCCATTGAGTTCTTATAAGATTTATTGGCATCTGACTGCACATAAATATAATTAAGTCAAACGAAAAATGTTTACAATATTAAATACTAGCTTAATTACATGCTATCTAAGAAACCTAGTCTATGCGGTATGGTACCAAGACTACCTGCACTTAACCTTTGAGTGAGAAAAGACGACAGCAATCTTGTCACCAGCCGCAACGACGAGGTCATTAAATTTGGAGTGCTGTGACCCACAGACCTAAGATGTCAACAGCAATTTGCATTAATACATAGCCTGAACTAAGAAACTCATATTTGTGCCACTTAGTTATTTACTTCAGCGAATCAGCTGCATCTAATACCACCCTGGCCCTGACTAATGTACCCTTTAGATGAGAGCCAGCAAAAGTGTGAACACAATTAGCATCCCAAATGATGGTTTCCCATCTTCCAAGCGTTCAGAGTCGAGCCGTTAGGTCTCTTGGTATATCAATACTGCTCTAACGAACTGGTATGGCGTTACCAGTTCTGTAATAACATCTGAGTTTAAAGTGAATTGTTGCCCACCCCCAGATGTCAGACTCCTATATGTGGAAAGAGCAGATCCACACTCTAATGAAGGGCGGAGAGAGCGAGTCCGACATCTCGGATTCGGAGCACTTCCTCACAAAGGGTGCGTTCCTCCTCACTCCCTCCCACGGCCTCAGCATGGAGAAAGCGTCGAACATCTGCGAGAAGATGGAGTTCAAGGGGTGTTTCTCCCTCACGAAAACCGCTACCGGAATCCTCTTCAAGTTCTCTCACGTCGACGACTACCAGATGGTGTTCAAGAAGGGTTTCCACAAGGTCACCGGGTCCAGGTTCTACCGGAAGGTAATCACCGGTTATTGTTTGCTTGCTCCAACTCTCCGCCCTACCATAAACATCACTATATATATTTCATTACTTAAATCAACGCTGCCAATTAATGGTCTTGTATAGATAAAATAAAACCAACTAGATCACTTAACTGCTTTTAAACGGTAGATTAAAATAAATGGTATAGAACTGTAGACATTGACACATGAACCGTGGGCGAATGTTCTGCTTCCAGATAGCAATACCTTGCCGTCCTCAGAAGACCTTCACGATCTACGTGTACGACATACCAGACGAAGTTCCAGAGGAAGACGTGCGCCATGCTCTTTACAAGTTCACGTCCGTGGTGGAGGTGGTGCGCCTGCACCTCACCAGCTCACCGAGGGAGGGAAACACTGGTGAGGACTTCAATGGTACTGGAGTAGCTTAATTTTCGATTATATTATCGTTTTCAGTTTGAAGATTTGTGAACTCTAGATGTGTGTACTATACGCGGGATCCCTTCAAAATAAAAATGTGTCAGTGACTTGGTAACTCTGAGATTTCGGGAACAATGGTTACTGTCAACCTCAACTTTAATTTTGTGGATGTTCAGATCAATGTATACTATATTGTTAGTGAGTATTAGGGCTCACTTTATTATGGATGGTCAGATGCTGGCAAAGCGGGCCCTTTACTACCCAGACCAGACCTCTTTTGAATGGTAGACAGACATAACAAAATTATTAAGATTAAAAAAATAATAAATTTTTCCAGGAGCCTCCACTCCTAAGCCAATAGAAAAGACGCCTCCTCGCGCCCTGACGACTATCGACGGCGAACTAGTCAGCAGTATGGTCCCGAAAGAAGCCTCCAGCGTGGTGCGCATCACCCTCGCAAATATAGAGGAAGCCAACATCTTGCTGCAGAACGGCCTGGACTTCTACGGCGCCACATACTTCCCCACGGAGCTGGCGACACCAGCGCAAGCCGCCAAACTCATCAAACCGAGCAGGTACAGCAATGAATTATTTATTTTGTTTTGTAAGTGTGTTATAATGGCCTATGTTTAGAAGCAATGAACGAACCACCTCCAGAAAGCTTAACTCTAATGCAAGCCTATACCTAAGCCTTGGTTGTACTTTATTCGATCAGATTTTTAAAGTAAAAATAAAGAAAAAAGAAACCATATCCGTAAATGTAATTAAAATAAATACGTAATAATTATTATACTAACTGAAACTTTCGGATATCTGTATAGAAAACATCATGAATGAGATGTTTTTACTCCAAGACATGTTTTCCTAACACTTTTCTGTTATTTCTACGTTTTTAAAAAAAATTTACTCACTGCTCGTTTGTCAAATGTTGTATAAGTATTATATATTTAAATTATCATATTTTGAGATGATCTTTAACGAAAAATGAAGGCTGTAAAAACCTTAAATGTGCGTTAAGTTGCATAATTTTTTATTACTTAAAGTTTTTTAATTTTACATAAGCTAATTCTATTTTTTTACAATTTTACCGATATACAAAAGAGAGAATATTATTTTCCTCATAGTCACAAATTCATTTGTAAAAACGTAGAACATTTTTCGCACCCACAAATTGAACTTTTCAAAGCAAGCGCACGTAGATATTTGAAATAGGTTCAGGCACTTCACATTATGTAGATTCTGGCGACACAACGCACAGCACCGCTTTAAATTGCCCCTTCTCATCCTCAACAGAGCGTATCGTTCCAGAGTGACTGGTGGCAGCGTCTCCGCCAGGGTCCGCGACCTTCTCCCGGTCTTCGACCAGCAGGGTTTCACTAAATTCGCGCCACCCGCTTCCCGACTTGTAAAACCGCGCACCAAGTGACACCAGTGTTCGACTCTTGACATCTGTGTTCGACCTTTGACATCTGAGTTCGACCTTTGACACCTGTTTTTGACCTTTAGCACCCTTTAATCTTTGACATCGGTCTTTGACCCGGCTTTACCTTTACGACTGTTCGCGTTTCTTTACTAACAACAAGACTAGCCACGTAATGAGGTTGTTTTGAAAGACCAGAACTGAGCTGTTCCTAAGACACAAGTACCAATGTAAGATTTAAAATATTAATCGCAGATAGAATGTTTATGCTTTTTTCGTTTTGCAATTTAATCGATTACATTAAGTCTCCTAACGTCTTTTACTTGATTTATTTGAAATTAAGAAATGAATATTAATGGAAAAATTCTAATGTACCGTATTGCATTTATGAAACTGTAATTAACTGATATTAACTTGCGTGCCATTTTATTTGTAATCTGAATAGAATATGTTAAATCCAATAAAATATTTATAATGGTAGATTTTATTTTATTTTAAACCATATTGATCACCTTTGTATAAACACACAGATTTAACTGTGGACCATCCATCTAGAACCAGGATAATAATTATGACCTCACGGAAGACTCAGAAGTAGAAGTATTCACACTTCCGAATTGCGGCTATCGAACGAAGTAGCTAAGGTCAATACACTTATAGATTCTAAATGCTGCAAGGAACTTAATTAATATTTGTGTTGGCGGTGGTAAGCATTTAACACAATCTTGCTCCCATAAAAGTTTCTATTTTAAACTACGAGATGTGCTGTTTATTAATTTATATTCAAGGAAACGGAATGTGACGATAATTGCGCCAAATTTTCCCTTTGTTTTACAAGTTCCTAAAAGTAAATATTATTAATTTAACATTCAAAGTGAATCAGCATTTAAAATTGTAACAAATTTGTAGTGTTCGATACCGGCACTAATTGAACTTCGGTTTATGTGTATTAAATAAAGAGTGTGCCCGATACTGAGGTTTATTATTTTACTCAAATTTGTTGGGTGCGACTTATTGCAAAAGTTTAAAATATTATAAAAAAAAATAAAATCTTGATCTTTGTACCCCTATCGCTAGTATTGGATATAGCAATTCTAATCTGTGTGATTGATTCATTTACTGTACAACTGATTTACCCACATTCAAATTAATTTGATTAAATCTATCGAGAGTTTCATCCATTATGATGCCATTGTCTGTATTAGGTTTATAAGGCAGCCTGTTATTCCTTCCACCTGATGGTAAGTAGCGGTGCAGCGTAGATAGTGAACATACTAGCTCAGTAAAAGCCCACTCTTGCCTTGAAGACACTCACGTCAAGTTCGGACGGGAAGACAGACGCCGCCAAATTGTTCTACCATTTTGCTGTACGCATAATGAATGACAGTAGAACGCTTAGTACGAATGCGTGGAATGTCAACAATGAAGTAAGAAAACAATTGAAGACTTCAAGTGCGCGGAATGTCAACAATAAAAAGATGGAGGCGGTGTGTGAGGCGAGCGTCTGGTAGTACGAAGGTGGGACGGAATTATAGGTATTCTTTAAAGTTTTATTTCTTTTCCTTGGAAATCCTTGCCGTAATTGTAGGTTAACATTATCCTGTGATGTAAAGACGTTTCACAAACATAATTTTCACGTGGAGAAACACCCAGATGCGAAACAACTATCTGTGGGTCACATAAATACTTGTTCCGTGTTCCCACACGGGAATCGAGCCCAAGACCTCCGGCACCAAAAACATTACCTTTGAAATAGGGCTTACAATTAAGAAGAGTTCAGAGACTAAGATACCCTTTCCAGGCACTACAAATTTTCGAATGGACAGTGCTCACTTAAATGAAGAATGTGGTAAAAAATATTTTTATATCGTTTGTTAAGGTGTTTATGTCAATGGTTAATGTTTCTAGAGCCGTGATAGCCCAGTGTCCGGGCGCTCGCCTTTAATTCAATATACTCGAGCAACCTGAGTTCGATCCCCGGTGCCGGCACCAATGAAGTTTTTAACTTTAAGTGCTGACTTATCACGTGCTCCGCGGTGAAGGAAAACATCGTGAGGAAACCTGCATATTTTCGAAATAATAACAAAAAAAAAATATATTTCGAAGATATGTCCGCCAATCCGCAGTGGGGCCGCGTGGTGGACTATGCCCTGATACCCTCTGTATAGAGGAGGCCTTTGCCCAGCAGTGGGACATGTATAGGCTGTTACTTTACTTACTTTAATGTTTCTTGGATAAATTAATATAATGTTAAGGAGTTAACAATCAAACTCATTTATCATCGATTTCTTTCGCCTGATTGAATTAAAAAGATTCGCTTTTGGTAGATCCCTGTGAATTAATGATTCAAAAATACTTCTGTCCTATTTATTTATATTTATTTACATAACAAAAATCTTTCATTTTTTTATCCTAGGAAAATTGAAGGTTAAAGATAATCGATGCAACTTATCAACAAAATTAAAGAAATAGATGTCATTATTTAACAGAAATGAAATAAAAAAGAAATCCAAGATTATTTTAACGACCATGGTATTACAAAAACGATGATGGTAATAGTTTTTGAGTTAAAAAATTAAACATCAAACAACGGCGTTAAACACGAGGGATCGAAGTGTGAATAACTGTATTTACAAATCACTTTGAATGATGCGGAAATAAAATAAACGCATTGGAATAGTAAAATATCTTTATTAACATATTTACAGACTATAATATCACAGACATGAAGTTTACGCTTAAAGCGAACACGAATATCTTCGAAAATTTGCTTTAAATTAGTGAACACATCGGCTTACACCTTATCGCCCTTGATGCCTCTGAACTTATCCTCTATCTCCTGCAAGCTTTTGCCTTTGGTCTCCGGCAGGATGAAGTACATGGCACATGTGCCTACAAAGGCCACCGACCCGTAGAAGAGGAAGGTCACCGCGTCACCCAAGGTGGACATCATCCCCGGCGCGGTCTTCACCACGACGAAGAACGCGAGGAAGGTCGTGGCGGAGCTGATGCCGGAGCCCAGGCCGCGCACCCTGGTGGGGAACAGCTCGCCGCACATCATCCAGGGCAGCGGCACCAGGCCGATGGATATCGCGCAGATGTAGACCATCAGGCAGGAGAGCGGCAGCCAGGAGAGGTTCGTCGGCTCGCCGCCCGTCCAGTGGAGGAATGAGCCCAGCGCGATCATGGACAGCGCGGTCCAAACGCCGCTGATGAAGCACAGCGGCCGCCTGCCGTACTGCTTGCACACGACGCACGCCACCACCGACATCACAACACGCAGCGCGTCTATCACCAGCATCGCTACGTAGTGGTCTATCCCTTTCCCCACCGCCTTCTCGACGATCTCTATGGAGTAGAACGCGACCGCGTTGTTTCCCGAGAACTGGCACGTGATGAAGAATATAATCATTATCGCCAGCGGTTTCAAGAGCTCCGGACTCTTCAAATTGGAGAGTTTCTCCCTCCAGGTCGGGATGGGCTGGTTGTCGACCGCCCTCCGCTTGTCGATTATCGCTTGCAGCTCCGCCTTCGCCTCATCGCTGTATCCCCTTAACCAGTGGTAGGAGGTCACGCCTTTGTCCATCTGCCCCTTGCAGATCAGCCAGGTCGGACTCTCTGGGACCGCGCAGAGCAACAACACGGATAGTACTGGGAACAGGCAGCAAATCACTGCGGTCCATTGCCAGGTCAAAAACGTCCCTATCAGGTGAGCGACGAAGATGCCCACGGCGATGGCTAGGGACACCGCCGCGAGGAAGATTCCCCTGAACTTCGGCTCTGATGTCTCCCCGATGTAAACGGGCCCTACCGGCCCCAGTAGACCCACGCAAAGACCGGTCAGGAATCTCCCGACTAGCATCAAGGTCAGGTTGTTCGCACACGCTATGAAGATCCATCCGAGTAGTAGAGGCGCGCAAACTATGAAATGCGAAAGGCGCCTTCCGCATTTCTCCATCATCCACCCTGAGATGAGGCAGCCGGGGGCCATCGGTAGAGCAGCCATTGCCGCTGGAGACAATATATGGATCTGATTAACATTTATTTTGCGATACTATTTTCTATACGATGATAATAAGGTACAAGAAAAATAGTTAACTGATATTTTCTATCTATCGGCTTTTTCCGTTCTAATTTTAGCCTATACATGTCCTACAATTTTTTTGGCAACAATTTTATTTGGTTAATCGATATTTTTAAAAAGATAAAAAATTCAAGTAGACTAATTTTGAGAATAACGCAGTACCAATTTCCCGGCAATACTGCTGGTGGATTATTTTTATCTCAAAACAATGCTGTTGTAATTACATTGATTTTTAGAACGTTAATTTTGGCACGAGCCACCAAACGGTTGATATCTGTTGCGAGTTTCGTGTAAAGTTGTTGCGTGATATATCAATCCTCAATCGGGATTAAATTTAAACTTATTTAGTTAAGACGGTAAAATTGGAGTATATCTGAATTCAGAGAATTTTTGGATACTGCATATTTTCTTAGAATACCGAATAAAATACAATCTATCTAAATTACACATACCGTATAAATAAAATTAATTAGTATGGAAAGGTTGCGAACAGTTGATTGTTAGGTTTAAACTATGATTTTCTGAAACTGGGTTTGGTTGAGCAGCAGATAATATAATATCGGTTTTTTTGTATTTACAACTCTTGGTTTACCTATTTTTTTAATGGATCTAACTTAATATAATGATAAATAATAGCTTGTATATTACGCTATATATAATTACGATATTTTTAAATGCCCTGATATCCTTTGTACAGAAGAGGCCTTTGTATTGGAACTTATTGTTTGTTACTTTACTTTATGGTCTAGGTCATTCGGCATTAACGTACCTATCCAGGATGCTGTGTTTTCGTCCCACGGTATAACGCTGCCAGGTTGCTTCAGCTGTGGCAGAAGGATGGCAGAGTAGCCGGACGTGAGGCCAGACGTGAAGGTCATCAGGATCGCTGCTGATGCCGCTAGAGTCTGCAGATTGTTTAAATGTTGGCATACGTCGATAATTTTTTATTATTTTTATTTCTAAAAGTACACTAAAACATGTTCAAGGTGCAATAAAATGTTAGAAGTACACATAATTAAATTAACATATGAACACATCAATAACAGGCGTCATGCACGAATAGTAAATAAAAAAGTGCTTTATAAGAAACTAAAAGAAACTATAAAATATAATAACTAATACAGAAAGGTAACATATACATACTCGGACGATTCATAACTGTCTAAGTCATCATCATCATCATCATTTCAGCCTGTTTGAGTCCACTGCTGAACATAGGCCTCCCCCATAGACTGCCACGAAGTACGATCCTGAGCCACCTGCATCCATCGACTTCCCACACATTTGCACAGGTCGTCACTCCATCTAGTGGGGGGTCGTCCTACTGTCTAAGTAGTTTTGATTATTTGGACTTGTTATGACTTCTAATATGTCGGCTAATTTCGGTAGTCTTTAATTTTAAGATACTCTTTAATAGTATGTCAATTGAAAACCCGATTTTTTTTTATATTAATCAAGTTGTTAAGTCAATAACGAACGTTGTACTGATAAATTGACAGTTTATTGTAAAATTTTTAAAGATAACAGTTTGGTGTGATTTTAATACAAGTGTTTAAAAATATAAACAAAGTTTCATTGGAATTAATACACCTATACTTGATAATTACATGTACATAAAATCTGTTACCGCGAACACAGGATTTTGGATACAACAAGCGATATAATATAACTGTTTATAATTTATAATGATAACTTAACACTTTGTGGCATACTGAGGCGTGCAAATAATGTTTTTGATCATAATCTCAATATTTTATATCGTACTAGCTGACCTGGCAAACATTGTTTTGCAATATAAGTTATTTCTAGGGAATTTGTGAATCTGAACACATAGAAAAAGAATTCGGAACGCACGCATAAAATATTTGACGGGTAGGAATAGTTTGTATGTGAAAATAAAATTGTTGCTATTTCGATTTTCCATGCAATTTTTCCATAATTTCACATATATTTCAAAACCAAAATTAGCCATATCGGTCCAGCCGTTCTCGAGTTTTAGCGAGACCAACGAACAGCAATCCATTTTTATATATAAGATATATGCGTTTCCCGCATTTTCATGTTAATATGGAGTAAAAATCGAATAAAATAAAAATGTGGTCAACACAAGACAGAATTCGCAATTCATATCATGCAAAAGCACAATGCCGCATTTTTAAGTCATCACATCAGCACAACGTTAAAGCAAATATGTAAACTCGAGATAAAACCGTGTCGTATAACAATATTAAAACGTATGCAAATCTAGCATACGAGGTCCATCGTCGATTTTCAGTTTGTGCAATTAAATTTCTCGTGACTGTCATTTATACTACACGCGTACATGTTACTACACGCATGTATGTTTGCATATAAGAGAATGATATCGCGGTTCGTCGTACTCGTCCACATTGAAGTCTACTCGCGACTGAGTCGAAACAGACGTATTAATTCCCGCTATCAAACGGCCAAAGGTCTGCTGTAACTGGGTTTTGGAGCTGTCACTAGTTTGCGTGTGCAGAATTATGGATTGAGCGACATTTTTGAGTAACCTTGGCCCATTTCGTCGGGTGGACGAATATTTTTTTTAATGTTAGGAATTCATTAAATATTTTATTTTTATAGTTTTCTAATTAGACCAGTTAGACTAGTGGAATTAGACCAGTACCAATTAGCTATTAATAGAAGTAACTATTTACAAGACTGTCATAGCTGAGATATCTTCTGGATATAATAAATAAATAAAGTAAAATAAAATAAAAAACATATTTCGTTGCAGATAACAATAAGAAAATCATAATACCAACTATTATGATTTTTTGTTACTAATTAATTAGTTTAGTTCTTAAATTTATTTGTTAATTTAGATTTTAAATACATTTTAATCAGTCTTATGTTAAATGAGATGAATTATTTATTTATCTGCAAGAACTCCTTTGCAGGTAAAGGCCTACAAAGATTGCCAGCACTCTCTAGATTAGGCTACTTTGAGTTCTCTTCCGGATAAAGCTTTACATAAAACAAAACCGAAAAAGGTACAGTGCTCGATGGCAGACTACATATCTTCAGTTTATCTGTAGGTATGCAAGTTTCCTCGCTTTGTATAACTGAAAATCTCTAATTTTCTCAAATCAATTTTATTAATACGGAATATCCAATAGTACAATTTTAGGAACTCATTTCATCAATTCGTCGATCGATTCAAGATCGATTCCTATAGGGAGTGGTACTGAGCCAGGCCCTTTAGGGATCTACTAATAGACGTTACTAGCCCTATAGCTTACCTGGTTCCATGCTGGTGAAAATCTGACAACAGTTTTGGTGTCTATCAGAAGGGGCGCGTCCTTTGCGTTGTCCTTGTCTGTCAACGCAAGTCCAGCGCTCGAGTTCGAGATCTTGATGTTCTGTAAATAGTTTGACACTTCCGTGCTTTTCTCGCCATTGTCTTTGCTCGCGTTTGTGTCAATCGAGTTTGTGTTTGTCGTTTGTTTGTTGTCTTTGTCTCCGGAGTTCTCGCTGTGCTCTTTGTTCGTTACTCCGTTCAGCACTTGGTCTTCTCCCATTTCTGCCTGAAGTAGAATAACATCGATAATTACTTTGCTGCGTACGAAAAGGTTCATCTACATGAGAAGGTTTATATTGTTTTTACTATAATACACATGTACTGTGTAGAGGTCTGCTTTAAAAATGATTCGTACATATTATTAGAGCAAGTAAATAAAATTAAACATACACACATCATTATTCCATGCAGATTTGCTTGACTTCCAATTACAACAGATACTTTTTTTTATGTGAAAAGTTGCCAAACGAGCAGACGGTTCACCTGATGTTAAGTGAATACCGCCGCCCATGGACATCTGCTACACCCGAGGGTTGCAGATGCGTTGACAACCTTTTGAAAATTGGGCTCCGGCCACCTCACTCACCATACGAAACGCGAAACTATTATACTTCCACTTCACGCCGGTTTTATGTGAGATTGTGGTACTTACCCGGATGAGCCTGCCCATTCGTGCAACAGCTGAGGTTGCTGCGTGGTCCTACCACCGTTAAGCCTTGTTCACAAAAAGCGTTGTTCCACCTTGTTCAATGCATTGTAAAAAGTTGTGGTTAAATATCTGCTAGGCAATCGGCTTATTAAGAAATGATTATATTATGGCCTGTTTATTTGTCGACAAAGAATTGGATACTATAGTGACGATAACGAATCAGTATTTAAAGGTGATATATTAATTGCATCGTTATCAGATAAGAAGAATAAAACGCTTTACACAGATCCGAGCGTTAATCGCGAGCAGCCGAAAGTTTTTATTAGCTTGAGAGTTAATGACGCATTAATTAATTGATGTCTGGACCCAGACAAATAAAAACTAACATCTTGGAAGTTACTTGAGGAACCCATCTAGAGACAAGACTATTATCTCTTCTTAAACCATTGTGGATAATAAAAAAATACATAAATAAATATTTCACGACACATTTTTACACAACGTTTTCTAGTCCCAAACTAAGCAACGCTCGTCTATGGGTACTAGATAACTGATAATCATACTTAAACATACATTTCTTTTATAAATAAATACATGTTATAAATATATGAACACCCAGATACTGGAAAAACACTATGTTCATCACACAATATTTTTTTACTAGTGGGTCGAACCCACACCCTCTGCTGCGTCACCCATTACGCCAATCGGGTCGTCAAACAATACTTTATACGTATAAAATTTTAGTCTCCTTTATTTCATATTTCGAACAATATTGTTAACTCTTTTGGGGCTTTTAAAAAAGATCCGCCCAAACCCTACTTTTTTGTCTCTGCAGAAAACGAGACCGAATAAGAGCATGAAATATTAAAAAAAATCAAAAACATAATTTTAAATAAAGCGTAAAAGAGTTAATCTTTACTTAATATTGTAAAGGCGAAAGTTGGTATGTATGGATGGATCTTTGTTACTCTTTCACGCCAATACTGCTGAATGGATTTTAATAAAACTTTACAATAATATAGCTTACCTATACATCAGATTAAGACATAGGTTATAATTTATATACATATTTTATGTTTATCTGTCTTTCTGTCTGAATGTTATGTCTTCAGCCTATTCTACGCAGACGTAGTCGCGGGCAGCAGCTAGTTTTGATATAATGCGAAGTTATTTTGAAACTCTAACAAAGTAGCCTACTGGCTCAAAATTTGACCGTCTCTTCTAGGCTGGTCATTAAAGTATACGGTATTAGTGTTTGATATTACGGAATTAAAAAAACTGCTTACGGTTCATTTAGAGTTAAGTGACTAGTGCCGCTCACAAAAGTGTCAATATTTCACTTTACGCGGGTCTTCTGGGAGATTTGCGACTACCCAGGATGACCCCACTCCCCTTCACAGTGTCGTTGAATGGCTACTACCATGAATGAAACAAAACACTTTTATTTAACAATACAATGACTCTGTTGTTGAAGTCGTTTTTAAAACTATTTATTGCGTCAGACTTATCTCACATTATACATTATATAATATTCTTCATTCACATTGTACATGAAATTTATTGTAACATTCGCAAAATGAGGAAACGCCACGCGTACCGCGTAAAAAGTTTTTTATCTAAATATACTGTTTAATCGAAACTGATAACACAACTTTGGCTATGACGTCCATATTATGAAATCGTTTAAAGAGTGCAACGGATTGCGTAAATTAGCAAAAAATAACAATAAAAGATAACAACGTCCAACGACATATGATATATTGCATTTAACCATGTGGACATGTAAAACTTCTTTAGACATAAAAGCGGGTGGATAAGCTAATATTTTTTATATCACTGAGGTTGCTCGTTTGCTCAAATGCTTGCTTTCAAGTAAGATACCGAATTAGGGATTATGGAAAAGGAGGTAAACGAGCAGGCGGGCAAACTGGTACTCCTACTCTACTAAGTACTACTAAACCTCCGCCCATGAACACTCGCAACACCAGAGGACACAAATGTACTGCCCGCCTTTAACAAAGAGATAGGATCCCTTCTTGAAGCCCTAAGTCGTACCAGCTGAATAAACTAAATTCAATTTAAGCCTGAGAAGGCATAGGTTTATGCGTAGACTGCTAAAAAGAATTCCTTCGCATATCCTCTTTTGGCGAGCGCTTGCTTTGTACTGAGGAAGTATCGATCGGAATTTTTGGGCTTCTATTTTGGTAGGATCTACCGCTGTTGGCCTGAGGGGCCTAAACAGATCTAATTTTTGGCTGTTAGATAAAGGGTAATTCCTATGGTTTCACCATTTCATTCATCATCAGATAAGCTTATGTGATGATTAAAATATCTTGTATAAAAAGGCTAAAAGAGTTCTAAATGTAATATATTCAAATAAAATTAAAAATATAATGTTTTTATGCATAAACACAGAGTTTGAATATTTTTCTACTATCAATTTTTGTTTGTAATAACTGCAAAGAAGTAGGATCTAGTACAATATTGTAATATTGTAAAAAGAAAATTATTTCTAATACACGCCTAGCCTTTTCCAGGATCGAGAGTTACATGCATAACATACGTAACAAGGTATTAAATTAATTATTATTAAAAAAAAATATGTTTGTGATATTATTACCGACTCTAATACTGTTAAGTTTGTTTATTTTGTACTTTGTTTGTTTTTATCCCAAACTGAAATCGTTTTCAGTTAACGTTGGAGCGTTTTAAATGTCCCTCGTAGCCAATATTGTGATCAAACGCTGGATAAAGCACAAGATAAGATAAGACAAATCAATTGGATGAAAAAGCTTGCCCAATTACAGTAACAAGGCTAAATGAATTCAACTATCGTTATCTAATAAGAAGTACGTAATAATTGAATGTCAAGGAGTCGATTTAGAAGCGATGACATCGGGAATAATTACTTGTCATATGGGTTGGCGATAGTTTTGAAACCGTTCTCACTGACAACACAGGAGTGTTATGACTTTCCCGTGGGAGTTGCCAGACCTCCTATCGGGCGCGTCCCCAGGTGGCGGATAGGGGAATGTCACCCAGACATGGGTGATACCGGGAAACTGGCGTGGACCAAAACTGGCAAGGGGGGGCCATCTGGTGATCCTTTTCAGGACCCAGGGATGCCAAAGGGCTTAATGCCGTACGAGGCAGAGCCTTCTAGGCGGGCCTTAATTGCTCCCAGTATCCCTCTTTCTTGAGAGGGAACAAATAAAGGGGAAATAAAGCGAGATGTATGAAAGGTGGGTGTTATGTGGGGGGGAATGGGTAAATAGGTTGAGTGTTTGCATGATGTATGGAAGGAAGTCTCCGAAAGGGGACGTTTGACTCGTGCGGTGAGTTTGCCAAGCGCACTCGGCTTTGTCGACACCGGGCGATCTCGGTACCCTGTTGCAGGTGTCGTGGACATGTCTCGCGGCCTGCAGCAGAGCTGAGGGTCTTACCTTCACCGGTCGGACCGCGAGGAGTAAACCTCACTAAAAAAATCCGCCGATTCCGGCGCTGCGGTACGCGGCGTGGGCTCGAAAGAGCGGCTGGGGCGTCAAACCAGCCATTAGCGGCCAACCCTGGGTACCTCCCGACCCCCAGGTGTATGTAGGGTTACCGGGCTACACGGTCACTGGCTCGGTGGACTGTTTTTTTACCTAATATTCGTGGGATCATTATGGCAACATTGAATAAACCAAATACCAAAAATGACAAAAGCGCTAATATGGACTCAGACTTGCTATGTGAGTTGGTAGGTGAAGGACGCGCGGGCCTGAGAAGGTCTGCGTCCGTTGGAGAGTCGAACTGCGTATCTGAGGATAGACCCTCAAAATTTTTCGGGGATGTTCGGAAACGCCCGAGAAAAGAAGGCGAGGACCCTAACGTCAGCGGGACCTCGAGTGACGACGAGCAGCCAGCTCAAAAAGTGTTGGCAGGGAAAAGAGGCCGAAGACGCATTGCATCCCTTATCTTAGTTAAGGATAAGCGGGGACGGTACCTCAAGCGAACTGACGTGCAGGGGGAGAAACCCATTCAGGCTGACTATTTGGAGTCTGATGGCGTAAGCCGGAAAAAGGCGAGCGCAACTCAGATCAATGACGCTGATGTCCCCGTTGAAAGAGGCAGGTCACGTACGACAAGGGCCAAAGGCAAGTCTGCCCTGATCGCTGCAGAACGCGCAGCAAGAGAACTTCAGGCTGAACAAGAGGTAGTGGAAGCTTCGCGTAAATCTAGGACCTATCTATCTCTCAGAGACCTGTGAGAGTGATAAGGACATGAATGTTCTTGCGGACGACTTGCGGGAGCGAGTGCTCCAGCAGGTAGAATAACGCATGTCGCTACCAAATCGTCCAACCTGAAGGGCACGTTTGTTAAGGCCCTCAAGGATGCGGCAACGCAAATAAGCAGTGCGGTGGAGGCCCTGAGCCAAACCTCGGTGTCAGAGTAGACCAAAAAGTTGGCTGCGGATAATTCGCGTCTTAAAGTGGAGTTGGCTGAACTCCACAGCCAAGTGACGACATTACAGGCTGACCTGAGGGAGACGCAGCGTAGGCACGCGACATCAGCCACTCCCCTCTCTTCTGTAT